TAATAAGTCTATTTTTTTTTTTTTAACTACCTTATCTATCCAAGGTAGCTTAACCACCTTATCTTTTTAATACTTGGAAAACTAACTACCTTATCTATTTATATTTACTATCTCCAATTTCCTTTTTAATCTTTTTTATACTAAGTTTTTTTTTTCAATTCTTTTTAAATCAAGTCTTTTCTTCTTATTTAAATTCTATTCATATCAATTTATTCTTCTTTATTTTTATAAAAAAATATAGATTTTATGGTTAATTTTTAGAAATAAGAATTAATAATTAAGATTTGAGATTTAAGATTTTTAGATAATTATATTAAATTAACAATAGTGACAAAATTTATAATATCTTCATGCTTATTACATCTTTTTTTAAAAGCAATATAATACCTACATGATTTTGGAATGTATAGGAAATTTTTATCTATTATGTACTTATTAATTCACTTACTTGATTAATAATTAATTACATTCAATAAAAATGAGGATACTATAGAAATTTTGAATTTTAAAAGATTAAAAGAAAACAACATTGATTAAGTACTTTGAAACAAATAAGATAATACCAGAAGCTTAAGAAGTATTCTATTGATATTTTTCAATGTAATTTATATAGGATAATAAAGTAAAGGCTTAGAAGAAACATCAATGGGTTATTAAAATTGATTAATTATACTTTTTCAATCTCTAAGCAAGTGAATAATACTTTATCTAAACTCTTTTCACAATAGTAGAAGAAACCACATCATTCAAAAAACATCAAAAGATTGACAATCATATTTATAAAAAATTTAAGTTTGCATCTATAGTTCTTGACTTGCATGATATAAATAATGAGTGGAAGTAATGTCTAACTAAAGTTACAAAAATATAGACATAAATACAATTTTATTTTCTTTTTTTTTATTGACAAATGGAGCACTTATAGATCTTTATAGACTTTATAATTTTTATAAAAGAAGATATTTAAATAATTTTAAATTTAGGTTATGTTAATATGGGATTAAAATTCTAACTAAAGAATAAATTAAAAGTCTTATATTGTTACTTTTGAACAAAAAATTAAAAATATTAGACAAAACACAAGCAACTTTTAACCATCTTTTGTCTTTTATTCTACTTAAGTAGCTACAAACTAATGAACTTATTAAAGAACATCTTGATAATAAACTAATAAAACTATTTGATGTCACAAATATTAACATTAATATTAACATTAATAATTAAAAAGATAAGAAAAATTAGATAGAAGTAAAAATAAATAAATTTGATAATATCAAGTAGAAAAGCTTTTTAGAAACGTTGTAGATGTAGATCTATCTTAATAAGTAATTTTAGGTGATTGATAGGTTGAAAAATTTGCCAACAAATTAGCCACGTTGCACATATTGGCTACTTGTGATATAAATTTTGTCATGTAGTACACATATAAGAAACTTGCCTTTTAAGTTAGATTTGTATCTTACAAGTTGGACACATGTTAGTTGACTTATAGATCATTGCTATGTATCTCCTTAGTTAAATAGTATATACAAAAGCAAAAATAAGACCTTCCTCACTCTTGTCAACACCATTCTTATATTCTTATCTTAGCTTAAGAATCTCTAGGCTTTTTGTATTTGGAAATAGCAATTTTAGTTTTTAACTTATTTCTATCTTTGATTTTTTTTTTTTTTTAAAGTGTAATAAGAATTTATTTCTTCTTTAGAATTTTGTTGTGATTCATGTCTTTAACATTATTGTATTTCATGTTTTCTTACTTGAGAATGCACTAGGCATGTAGCTATGAAAAGTAAGTAGAAATGCAACAACAATCCTATCAAGTCTAATAGAATCTTAAATGGACTTTAAATAATCCTTAATGATCTTAATCAAATTTTAATCAATCTAAAATAAATTTAAAAGAAGTTACAAAAAAAATACATAGAATTTATAAATGAATTTCAAAAATAATAATAATAAAATCTTATAAAAATATAAAAATAAAATCTTAAAAATATAATAATATATTTAAAGAAATAATATATATAGGAAATTTTTAAAAAATAAAAAATAATTCTAAAAAATATTAAAAATAAAAATCTTAAATAAATCCTAAGCCAATCTTAATTTATTTTAATTTAAATCCTAATAAATCTTAATCAAATCCTAAATTAAACTCTAATCAAATCTTAATCAAAATCCTAAATAAAATCCTAATGAACCTTAATCAAATCCTAATCAAATTCTAATAAAACTCTAAATCCTAACCAAATCTTAAACCAACCCTAAGCAAAACCTAACCAAATCTTAAATCTTGAACATGTTGAAAATCCTACAACAAATTGAAAATTTAATAACTAACAATTGAACTATTGATTTTTATTCAAAATTTTTAAATTTTACAAAAACTAAGTTAGCAATAAGCACAAAAAATTTGAAGAAGATTGCACATATCAAATAGATAATAACACCTAAACTTTGCTCAAGTGTTAGCTGTTTGATATTTCAAAATTATGATCTCTTAATTCCACCATTAAATTGATTCCAAACTTTGAATAATTTTTGGAAGTCAAACTAGCTACTATTAAGAAGAATTATATAAAAATCCAACTATCAGATTAACAAATATCTTAGAAATCTTCATGACTCCTTTAAATCCCAATTTCCGAGACCATAACCACAAAAACTCTCATACTCTTCAATTTAACTGTTCAATTGATCTCAACTTTTTCACACACATACACAACAAGTACAATGACAAACTTCCAAATTTTCACCCATATATATGCCAATAAAACTCACAAAAGTTGCAAACTTGAAAATTCTTTTTATTTCTCAAAATTTTAACTTTAAAAATCCTTCAAAACCTCAATGTCAATCCAAATGACATGAAACCAACTTTCAAAAATCTTTTTTCAAGTCTACTCTCAAAACCCATTCTTTAATTTATAAAAGAACCCTCAAGATGCTATAGGTGTGCAGTTTTGTGCCTTGAGGTCTGGTTTTGACCTAGGTTCACAATTGGACCTCTTTGGATATCAATTTTTAGTAATTTGAGGTAATTTTTACTTAAACCTATTTTTAACTTTCTTCTAAAGATACCTATATTATTTGATTATTTCATTTACTTTGATTTGAGGCTTTTATACTCCTTCAAAGTAAATAGAAGTCCCTTCTATAAAAAGCACCATTAAGACATCTTTTGACTAGGCTCTTCTATAATAACATTCTTATTCCTATTCTTTATCATATAGTTGTATTATCACATGACAACATATGAAGGAATTGAAGAAGAGATTTAGTTTCTAAATAATGGCCAACTTAATGCCAATCAAGTAATAATTAAAGCATGCTTTATAGAAGTAAATAGCTTTGAGAGAATTTAAAAGATTTATTTGAGGAATATTCTTTTAAAAATTGTATGTGCAAATGATGGAGTTGCCTTTAAAATTGCATTTTTTTAAAATACTACTTTATTGCTACAAAAAGATTGGATGGCACATTCTAGATTTAAAATCACAATTGAATTAGGTTGCACAATAATTTGCAATATTTGAAGGCAATTGGATCTAATAAAAGTTTTACAGCGAACAAATTTAAACTTTTAGAACAAAGTTCTGATAATAAAAAAAAAAGATGGCATTAAAGCAATGAATAAAATGCTTTAAGATATAGTAAAAAATAAAAGAATTATTTGGAGACATCTTTTTTGTAATATGAAAAGATTTGGAGAAGTTTTCTCACTAATTTCAAAAGGAACTAGAAAAAAATTTGTGTCATCTTTAATAGAAGAGTATAGTCTTTAGAAGTATGCTTACATTCTTTATTTGCAAAAAAATAAGTAAAATTGTTGCACATACTATCTATACCAAATTTAGAAATAAAATGTTTGTTGATTGGTATTTTTTTTTTATGGAAAAAAAACTTAGAGTCATTGAAGAAGATTATATTCATTGACTATCAAGCATATTTTAATTCAATAATTATCTGAATAAATTATAATTTGAATCAGTTATTTATATTTTAAATTCAAAATATATTTTATAGTTATTTAAAATAATACAATTATACTACATAATTCTAATATAACCATCTCAAGCATCATCTTCAATTTAGTCTAAGATGTAACAACTTTGCTATTACTATTTTTTTTTTTTTTTTTTTTTTTTGAGTATAAATAATATATTATAAAAAACTATTAACTATAGCATAAATGTATTTTTTTGAAATATTACCAAATTATTTTAGCAAATGGTTAGAAATATCTTTAACACTTCTTAGCCATTATAAGAATTTATCATAGAACATTTCAAATCTCAAAAACAACTTAAATGTATAAAAAAATGTAAAAGATAAAACAAAAAATTGAATTGTTGTATAAAATCAATGGTTAGTGGATTTGGTTAGACATAGCTACACAAACCAAAAAATGATTGATTGATTGATTGATTGATTGATTGATTTTTAAATTTTAGGAATGATTAAGGTCCAAAGTGTTGTGGAATTTTTTATGTACATGTAGCAATCTAATAATTTTTGAAGTCCAATAAAAATTCAATCAAAACTAATTTAAAAGACAGCATTGTATTGTACAAAACTTGGTAACTAGGAATAAGACTGGACAATTTGTTTATTAAGTTCTGAAACAGTTTAAAAATTTCTCAAAGAATTTTGTGGTATTGAGAACCTATAAATTTCTTGTGAGTGCCATTTTATTACAAAGCCATAGAAATGATTGTAATAAATATAAAGTTTCTTGAAGAATTTAAAGGTCCCTTAAGTTCTAGGTTGTAAAGAACTCTTTAAATCAGAACTTAATGTCATTTTTAGAATATAAAATTAATTATCTATAATTCTTTGAAAGAAGGAAAGTATAAACTAATAATCTTAATCAGAAACATTTTCTAAATTCTAGAAAAATTTTAAATAATATTTAGGTAATTAAAAAATACATATATATATATATATATATATATATATACATACATACATACATACATAAGTGAGAGTTTTGAAAAGCATTTGTGAGAATGAGTCACTTTGGCATAATATTTCAATATATGTTAGAGGTAACATTTATGTAAAACTGTAGAAATTTAAGACCAAAGATACAAGAGAACGATTAAACACTAGGGCATAGCCATAGCCATGGCGGTAGCCTTCACCTCCACAAATCTCAACAGGCACAAAGCCTGTACACGAATTCATGAAACCCTTACAGGTAAGAATGCGAAGGGTGACGGCCATTACGTAGTCTGGAAATATCCCTCTTTACACTCACATAACCTATACAATGCGACGGGCGTAATGCACGCTCGTCGGGCCCTTATGAACTAACAGAAAGGGGACGGGACGGGCGGGGAGCGGGTTGAGGTTCGTGCTCTTGTACAACGGGGGTTACTGTAAAATTTACACCGGTGGCGCGGGTGGGCGATGGGTGCCCGGAGACCCGTGCCACCGACTGAGCATGCGTGTGCGCTGCTTTAAGTCTTACGCTTGGCGCCGAAATGCTGGATCATGAGGTCTTGCACAACGGGGAGCAGCTTGGTCGCAGGCACGCCCGGCACCACGAGCTCTCCCAAATGTGAGTCGGAGCCGATACGACCTCCAAGGTAGATGTCAAACCCCTCCACGGGCTTTCTATTTTCGTCTCGTGCCATTGTACCCATGAAGCCAATATCCGCAACCTGGATTTGGGCGCATGTGTTGGGGCATCCGGTGAAGTGCAACCGAATAGGACGAGTGGTTTCCATGGTGGCTTCCAGCTCTTGCGTGAGCTGCAACGACCGGGCCTTGGTCTCCGCGATGGCCTGGCCACAGAACTGGCTGCCTGTGCAGGCCACCAAGTTGGCGAGCAGAGGGGTGGGATTCGGGGAGTATTTCTCCAGGAGGGGCTCCTTCAATAGCTTCTCGATTTTCTCCGTGGGGACGTTGGGCAGGATCAGGTTCTGCTCCACCGAGATCCGAATCTCCCCGTTGCCGTACTCGTCTGCAATGCGCGCAAGCTCGAACATCTCTGGAGCATGCAGCCGGCCGACGGGAATGTGGAGGCCTACGTAGTTTAAGCCCGGTTGCTTCTGCGGGTTCACTCCATAGAAGCTCCGGCGCGTCCAGGATGGATCGACCAGGTCCTTCCCGGCTCTAAGAATGGACCCACCGGGCATGCGCCTCTCTACCTCGGCTCTGAATTCCTCAATTCCCATCTCGTCGATCAACCACATCATGCGGGTCTTCTGTCGGTTGCCTCGGGTTCCAAGGTCTCGGTAGGTTTCCAGAATTGCCTTGCACAAGGGAACGACATCATCTGCTGGCACCCAAGCATCCATGGGAATTGCTTCCGCACACCGCTTAGGGCTAAAGAATCCTCCCACCAGGATGTTGAAACCGAAGACACCGTTCTTTGTGGCTGGCATGTACGCCAGGTCGTTGATGTGCGGGTGCTCGAACAAGTCATGTGTTCCAACCACGCACACGTTCCATTTCCGAGGTCTGCAGACCACGCCAAACCAATCCAAAATTCAATTCTCTCAAACGCCATTAGAATATGCTGACGACAGCTAAGCGGGAGAAAATTATGAATGTGAGAGCGAATTCGTGGTCGTTCACTTACAAATTGGTGATCTGAGGATTTCCTTGCCCTCGGTTGATGATGTAATCGCTGAGTACCTTGCAGAACGGGGCAGTGTCGACAATTTCGTCAGGGTCGATTCCTGCAAGAGGGTTACCAACTGGGTTCCTAACGTTGTCCATGCCGCTCTGCAAAGATGACAGGCCTACTGATTCCAATCCCTTCAGAAGAGCAGGCACGTCTTCGAGAACAATCCCCCTGATTTGCCAGTTTTGACGTGTCGTCAAATCAGCGCACCCATACTCTCCGTACTTGGAGATTGTCTCAGCCAAGAACCGCGTCTGCGAGCTATTCGTGATCCCATTTGGAAGCTTGAACCGCATCATGAATCTCCCATCTGCATATCCCCTCCACAACAACTGAGTGAACTGCCTTACTCGAAAACCAATAGCTATCAACTAGCAGCATTTGATACAGATGAAATAATACACGGATTGATTCGTAACCAAAATTGTGTCTGCACGTCTGGAGAATGGAAATATTGTACTCACATTGATGTTTGCGACGGTGGAAGAGGCCCAACCACTTCAATCTCACATCAATGTCGTCCTTTCCTGCCTTCGAACTATCGAGCTCGGCGAACGGCGTTTTCGCCAGCTCTTCTATCTCGTTCTCCATGAAGAATTTCATGGGTTCTTTGGCGATTTTTATCTTCTCCGACGGGTTGATGCCCTGTCGAAATTCCTCCTTAAGAACGTAATAACCATCTCGTTCTTCCACGCGTGGCACGAGGCGGTCTGCAGCGATGGTAGGTGGGGCAGCTACAGCCTTGGCCTTGACCTCGCGCTCCGCAGAGGCCCGAACGCCATGTTTGTGAAATTGCGTGGGATATACTAAATCCTGGTGGCTGTTACCCTGCACTCGGGTTGCGCCTGTGAAGTGGAGCGATGCGCCGCTCACCTGTCCCCTCCACATTTGTGACTGCATAGTGCCTTGCATCGTCCCTGGAGCGACAGATAAATCAATCTACTTCGCGTCCGCTCCCAAAATTACCCGAGGGGTTTATCAGGTTTGGCAGAGATTAATCCCTTAAACCGGTCCGTCGAGAAACCACTCTACCTCCTGGACACAGAACCAATAAGTTAGAGAACGCAGTGCTGTGGTGCCATCTTGTGTCACTAAACCGAATCAGTCTCGCCATGAGTGTAAAATCATAGTAACCTCACCGCTTCTTGTACAATATATGAACTTACGTCGGCAACGAATGCCTCTCGAACCAAGAATTCACGACCAAAACTGTACGGAGTCTACAACATCAACCGGTTCTCGATTCACAGTCTGCCATATTGTCTTGCTGCAGTTACTATCAGTATGGTATTCCACACTCTTCGCTACAATCAAGCCACTCTCGAGGACATGCTTCACACCCAATTCTGAATCTCGCGACCAAAGACGAATTCATCAATTGATCTAAATTACAAGGACACAAAACCATAACTCCCACCCAGCGTGAAAGAGTATTACGAACATTCCTCGCAATACAACTCAATTAATCCTCGCTCAAAAACTAATACCACTGCGATCAGGCCCGACTGGAAAAACACCCACAAAATCCATGTGCACAACATTGAAGAGCCAGGCTTAACAACCACCTGTACAATTGCACGGAGGCTGGCAAATCCGATACAAAAAAGACACCAGATGTCCAAGGCAGATTCGAAGCTGGAGAAGCTGGAAAGAGAGAGGGGGGAGTTGGGAAGATATTGGGCTGGGGGAACGGTGGGAGAGGAATCAAATCGGGGCCAGTTGACGATGGTTGTGCAAGAGAATCTGGGAGCGGGTGGTGTGTGGAGGTGCGCAGTAGACGCGGCGAGGCGATGGCGAGCGAAGAAGGGCTCTTTTGGCGGCAATGAAGGCTGCCGTTTTGTCAGGAACTACTGGGGGACTGGTCGCTGCAGGCAGACTGACTGCAATCAACAGGGCTCCCTTAATGAAACACCTCCAACCTTAAGGGACTCAAACATATTTATTCTTTATTAATCAAAATGACGTCAGTGGAGAAGTGAGATGACGCGCCGATTGAGGCCTGGGTATCTTTGCTCCTACCCACCATTCATCAACTCAAGAGCGAGCATGCCTCGTACTCACTCCGCTTCGTTTGCCGCGCTACTTCCCGATCTGTTGAGTTGCTCTTAATTTTAACATTTCTAGGTTTCGCCTTTCAGCTCTTCCCACTCCAACGAAGTCCTACCGATCGTGTGCTAAGTGTGAGAATATCCGAACGTAAGTGCATATTGAGCACAAAATCTAGGTCAGGGTTTTGGAATCAGGTTTAGGTGAAGCCATAGTTACTGGCCCTTCGCAAGAAATTCACCCAATCCTTCAAGACATTTAGCCAAATTCTTTACCCCCAAACCTCTTTACGCAGCACAACGATCGTTGACGTGTGAGGAGTAAAATCCTGGATCTCAATTCTGATTTAGCATTGAAACTTACCCAGTGGCAAACTTTCGATAGCATGACGATGTTTTCCTGGAGTCTGGATCCCTAACGTCCCCGAGAGTCCGGTTTAGGCACGAAAAAAACGTTCATGAAATTTATGAGGCGTCTTGCAAGGGTAAGGGCTGAAAACCTTCCCATCTTGTCGTAATATTCGCCACGTCACAGACCGAGGACCAGGATCACTCACAACACCGATTCATAAAAAAAACTGGAAAAAAGAATCTTTCCCATCTGTATTAGAACAGAAAGCATATTATAAATGTGGGGCGTGATCAAAGCTTGACAGGAGTACCGAAATCCTCAAAGTTGGACTCACTGGGATTGGATGGCGTGACCATCCGATGTCGAGTGCTCTCATTCGTCAATTGCACCCAACAAGGCGAATCGCTAGAATGAGAACCATCCACCACCCTGCGCGAAGTCAAAAAGAGAACTGGACTAACCGGTGCCCTTTCGCGCAAGCCCTAATTACCTCCCGGCAGGGAGCAAACCCTAACTTACTTCCGACATGGTCACTAGAAGCGCAGGTTCCGGAAAGACACGCGGTGCGCGCGAAATGGCGATCTCGTTACAGCAGAATCTGTGGATGCATGGCGGTGTGTCTGATTTTTTTTCCTACGGTTTCATACCTTGAGGCTCTCTGCTCTCAATTCGTAACGAGTTTTCTTACGTGAAAAGATGAGTCTTCGCTGTCACGTTTTCAGCGGCATCGAGAAGCAGATGCTATGTCGCACTCTTCTTCTGCCGTTCTCAAGCTGGGCATTGCATCTGCGGAAGCCTGTGAAAGCCCAATTCACGTTGAGCATCGATGCCGCGCACGGAGTCGGCACGATTCATGAGCGCTTGAGTCGCTGATTTGGCTGTCAATGCTTCAACCGAAGAGGCACGGATGCGGAACTAGATTTAGGGTTAGGGTTTTAGGTTAGGGCTGGAGTTTTGAGGTGATGTGAATTGGACCTAAGGCATTGTTTTGATCCTTAAAATTATCTTGCAGAGGGTTTTTGAATGGATTTTTTGTTTTGTTTTGTTCTGTTTTTTTTAAGTTAATTTTCTTACAATAAAGGCAATAAAAATGAACAAAGAGAAATGATAAACATAAGTCTTAAAGCTATTTGAGTAGCATAGGAAAGTATAACTTAAATTAAGATGTATTTGTGTTTGTAAAGCAAAAGTAAGTCCATGATAGGAAAGTATAACTTAAATTAAGATGTATTTGTGTTTGTAAAGCAAAAGTAAGTCCATGATGGTAAGTTATTATTCTTTATACAATTGAATAAGACATTTGTGTCTTTTTCTTTGTCAGAGATATGATGTGAGAAATTGATAGATTTGAAGAGAACACTTGGGTGAAATTATGGATGTATAAAATAAAGAAGAAATTGGACAAAGAGAAGTCTTTGATAAGGAAAACAGAACAAGGTAGACAACTCATTTTTTATAATTTAAGCATTTCAAGATATATATCCAGTAGGTATAAAAATGAGAAAAGAAAAAAAAAAAAAAAAAATCTTCATATAGGAAAATAGAAATCAAGAAGATTCTAAGTATTTTCATACAATTTGGCTGAAAAATAGAATTTATACATATGTTTTAGCTAAAGATTCTCTTCTATACATTTTTAGTATATATGCCAATCTAATTCCAATTAATAGTGGGTCCAAAACTAAGAATCCAATTTTTACAAAACCATAATGTGGTACATAATTATGCTATCAAATTTGACCTAATTCAATGCTATTATCATGGACATACATATTTACTCCAATAATTGTCTACATGATTAGGTAGAAGTACATAAAAGTAAATTAATTTCATAATACCTTGTAAAGGAGCTTTATAGAAGCTTCATAGACGTGGTTTTCACTTTATATGTGTTTGTAGTTGATTGATAGGTTAAAAACTTGGTTAAGAAGTTAGCCACATGTCACATGTGTTGGTAGCTTATGAAACAAGTTAATTATGTGGTGCACATATAGTAAATTTCCCTTGCAAGTTAAAACATGTGTCTTCCAAAGTCAACATGTGTTGGAGGTCCTGTAAGACATCGCCACGTAGCTCCTAGTTAGATAGTACCTTGGAAGTAACAATGAAGCCTTCTTTAGTCTTGTCAATGCCTTTTTTTTTTCTCAATCTAGTATCAAGTGTCTATACACTTTTTGTCTTTACCAATTGCCATTCTAGTTTAATATTTTACCATCTTTGAAAGATTTTTTTGTATTTTTTAGTGACTCAAGGATGTAATGATTATTTAGTTCTAAAGATTTATGTCCTTGATAGTTTGACAAGAGTGCTAATTCATTGTTCTTGTCATGTTTTAGAAGTGAGCAAATTATCATACTTTTATTTTTGAATATTTAAGGTTATGGATTATCCATCTTTAAAAAAATAATTTTATTTTTTAACATTAATTTTTCTTTAAAAAAAGTAGATCATCACTTTTTGTAAAAAATTTCATTTGGCATTAAAGGTTGTGGATTATTCTCTTCTAATTTGACTTGTAGATTTACTTAATCGTTTAAAATGGAAGAAAAAATCACAAATATTATATTTAGTAAAAATAAAAATAGATTTGTTATTATTGTAAATATTTATAAGCTTATTAATATTCTTAAGGTGTAAATTTTATACATAATCAATACCAACTATAGAAGCACTATTTCTATACAAATGAAAGAAATCCAAAATTTATGCCAAGAAGTTGTGTAGTTGAGGGAAGCAAGTAGATCAACCTCACAATTAAATTCAGGAAATCTCACATCTAGAAGCTTGAGTGAGGCAAGATTTAGTATGCCTGAGAAGTTTGATAGAATAAGTTAAAAAATTTGAGGATTTTAGCAATAAGCTAAACTCTATTTAAAATTGCATCTTTTTCAAGGATATGAATCTTGAAAGAAAGAAATCTTTAATACACTCTTGTGTTACTCAAAGAACTAGAAAATCACTCAAAGATGATTGGTATTAAATTAAAATGGCTATTGCCAAAGTTAATAAGACACAAAGTTTTGAAATAAGACTAAAGACTAGAAAGGTATTAACAAGAGTGAAGAAGGCTTCACTCTTATGTCCATATATACTCTTAACTAAAAGCTATGTAGTGATGTGTTAAAGGACCTCCAAAACATGTTGACTTTGCAAGGCATGTATCTTAATCTGGAAGGTAAGTTTTTTATTTATATTCCATATAATTAGCTTGTTTTGCAAATTCTCAACATGTGGTTAATTTATTGACCAAGTTTCTAACCTACCAATCAACTACAAACACATGTAAAGTCAAAGTAGCATCTATGAAGCTCTTAAGAAGCTTGTTTATAAAATATTATGAAATAAATTTACTTTTACTTGCTTCTACTTAATCATATAGATAAATATTAGAGTGAATATGAATATCCGTGATGTTATCTCTTCTTCTAAAGGCAAGTTCTATAAGGATCGGTCTTCATATGTTGAGGAAATTCAAAATATGGAGAATTATGTTTGCCATATACTTTGATCTTTATTTTCTTTGAAGATGTTTCATAGGTCCTATCAGCCATTGATAATGTCCCAAATCAGGGTAGAAAGATCATATTGTTATTTGGTGATTTTTGAGGCCTTCATAACTTCCTTCAAATAAAACATTTAGAATACCATCAAGAATTGTTCTTGTTTCTAATAAAATCACCAAATATTGAAAGTCTCTTCTATGGTCATGATACCAAATATATTGTATTTTTCCATCTATTTGAAGCAAGAAATGTGGTTCTTGAGGATCTTCAACTCAATTATGTCATCTTGAAGAATGTGATAATTGTAATGTTTCATCTAATAAGTCAGCAAATAAAAGCTCTTAATTTAAATTTACTAGTTGTTGATTCTTTATTTTCTTAACATCACAAATATACAGAAGCTACAAACAAGGATAGAAGATAGAATGCTATCTTTTTTGAATCTTCTTTCTTTTATAGTAAAAATTTGTTATTCTTCATCTTAATTTTGATAGATATTGTCAATAAAAAGCCTCAACTTTCTTTGCTACATTTGCAAGATTCTTTGCTGACTCCCTTGTGCATTCACTAATATCATATCCGCACTAATAAAGAAGATATTTTAACCTATTTTGGTGCCGCTTTGAATTTAAGACTTCTTTTACATCA